TTTGTGGCAGGGCAGGCAGTAAATGCAAATGCTTGCTGGTGATCTTAGATTTCTGTTATGGTTATCACAGTGAAAGGATGCATGCGTTCCTCTAGGAGCTGTTGAAGATTAAGGGCCTGATTGGTAATGTTCATGGCAGTGTCATGTACTAGGACTCCTCCACAGAGTAGGCATTCAGATCTGAGCAGGCCTTAACTCTTGGGCAGTAAACCAAGTCTGCCTTTTTAGACTATGCTGTTCCAGATGCACAAACAGAGTGCCAGCGACCCCTGCTGGCTGCTGGGTGCACTGCATGCCCAGGGCAACTGTGCTGCAGACCAGTCAAACTCTGAAGTTGAGCAACACTAGAGGGCCTAGCATAGGAAACAGAGCTGCACAGGCCTACCCATCAATGCAGAAAGCCTTGACCAGAGCTGCATCTGTCCTGAGTTGTCTCTGGACATTTTCTGCCAGTGTGTCACTCTGACCTGGAAGAGTCTTCAGAGGTCATGGCTGTTGCACAAAATTGTGCTTTCACATCAGCATATGCTTGGCTTGTGCAGCCTGACATCCCAAGAATGAGACAAGGAATTACCCAGAAGGCTATGCTTCAGCTCAGGGATGGTTAGCCAGGGGTGACACCACCTCCAGAACAGCAGATATCTTCAAGTGGCCTATGGTTCCAGGCCTAGTGTCTTACATCAGCTTGATAACCAATCACGATTGCTGCCCTACACTGTACCCCAAAACTTAGAAGCACTAACATTTAGTCATCGTCATAGATGGTCAGGAATTAGACAGAGGCAATAGGATGGGTGTGCCCCTGCCTGAGGGCCAATTGAGCTGGGTTTGAAAAGACTGGGTGGGACCCACTTCCACAGTGACATTCTCGCTCCTGGGCAGGAAAGCATGGTTGAGGTTGAGATCTTCTGAGGCCGGTCTTGCCAACATCCTAGTATTATACTACTGGCTGGCTCAGGGGTGACTTGGTGTCCCAGCAATGACCTTTTGTGGCCCAGTCACATGACATCACTTCACATTTCTCCATGAATCAAAACAGTCACAAGCCTGTGACCCAGAGAAGGGTAATAGACCGACTCTGGCTCTTCATGGGAAGACTACTGTGGAGTCTGCAGCTGTTCTTCAAAACACAGCACTCATAGGCACCAGTGCAGTTCTCCATGCTGGCCTTGTGGCCTGAACAAGACGGTTTCTGAAACGTGTGCCCAGTTCCTTCCAAGCCCTGATGCTCCCTCCCGGAGCTCAGAAGTGGTCCCTCTGTGCCTGCAGAGGAAAAGGTGACCGAGAAGAATTGTCCTGGACCAGAAGTAACAGTGGATGGCTGGGGGGTGCCATAGAGGGGAGATGGGAGATGCCTGAAGTGACAACATGGTTTGACTTACTTGGCCCCAGCTTCTTGCATGTATGTGCATGTGGGGGGGCTCACATGAAGGGCAGAGGGCAGAACGCTGTCCACCTCCTTAGAGACTGTCTCTCGTGAGCCTGGAGCTAAGCAATTAGGACAGATTGGCTGGCCAGTGAGCCCTGGTGTTTGTACTACATACCTCGCATTTTCACACACACACACACACACACGTACACACACACACACACACACACACGTACACACGTACACACGTACACACACACACACAGGTTCTGGGGGTAAACTCAGGGCCTCACATTAACATGCTCCTATTCCTAAATCTGAGTACTTACAAGCAAGGGAGGAGTGACAAGCATGAACGCAATGAAGGGGAAATAGTTCCTTATCTGCCGCTGTACCTCCATATCGGTCGACTCTGTCAGATTGCCAGAAAGGGGATCAAAACTTGTGAGACAAGTAGTGACTTCTACTGGCCAGCAGAGGGCAACACAATGCTGCTCTGCAGTATCAGAAGCTAAGCTACTGGACGGATGGAAGCTGGGGTGGGATTAGAACCTCCACAGCCCTGGGAAGGATGGGCTGCAGCCTGATCCAGCATGTGAGTGCCACGGGGGTGGGAGTTGTATTTCTCTGGCCTACTACACAGGAACATTTTATCTGAATGCCAGGATGAGTGCTCTGTCTCTCTGTCTCTGTCTCTCTTCGTTTTTCTGTGTGTGTGTGTATGTGTGTGTGTGTGTGTTATATTACCATATCCCATATACAAGCACTTATCTCTGTCTCTCTTCGTTTTTCTCTGTCTCTGTGTGTGTGTGTGTTACATTACCATATCCCATATACAAGCACTTAGTATGTAAAGTATTCATGTGTCTGACCAGATAGAGTTTAAGGTTATCTACATACCAGGCTTGTTCCTGGGGCCTTAAGAGTAATACGTCTGTGTGAGCATGTCCTGAGGCTACCTACCACTTGCCCATGGTGACCAGTAGCCCCACTTGGAAGTACTCCCCACAAAAGATCTATTGTCATAATAGCATGGACACGAGACCCCAGGGCCCCTGGGAACCCCTCCCAGACATATTCCTCTCTCTGCTCAGCCTGTTATCTTTCAGGCCATCTGGACGGCCCATCATTGCATTTGATACTTTCCTGGATGTTTTTATCTCTATTATTTAAAGTCCTCCTTGGAGGAGACCTGGGGACCCAAAGATCCTGGCACCAGGGAGTCTGGCTTAGGTAATGGAGGAGGGACAGCGGTAACCTTCTAGGACACAGTCGGACTTAAAAGGTAGCAGGGAGTCTTGCCTACTGAGCAAACTCAGGGACAGGGCTTCTAGAACTCAATGCAGCACCAGTGTAAAGGAAGAAGGAAAGGTTAATACTGACTGCCATCCTCACTTGACAGATAGGAACCTGACCCAAAGATAAACAATGTAGGGCCAAGGTTTACAAAGTAACTGTCTGGGACTTAAACTCAGGACTTCTGAACACTGCTACTCTCTTTGCTGGGATAAAATACTGAACAAAAGCAACTTAGGGAACACTTGACTCACAGCCCATGGGGTAAAGGCATGCTGGTGGGAGCAAGACGCATCCTGTCAGGAAATAGAGAGATGAACATTTGTGCTTAGCCCCTTTCTCCTTCTTATTCAGCCTGGAACTCTGGTCCACGGTATGGTCCCACTGTCATTCAGGGTTGTCCTTTTTACCTCAGTTAAACTCTTCTGAAAACACTTGCACAGCCATAAGGCATGCCATGTGATTCTCAGTCTTGTCAAGCTGACCATGACCTAGGCATGGGACAGACAATACTCAATTTATTACAAAATTCTGTAAAAACCTAATCCACAGGACAAAAAGTAGAACCACAGCACCAGAAACAGGGCACCATGTTGGGAAGGGGGGGTGTGCTGACTACAAAGATCACCAAGGAATGTTTTAGGTACCTGAGTCTTACAACCAGTGGCAGTGCGCTGTCAAAACTCAGTGGCTACCCAACGAAATGAGTGTTTCTTATTTGTAACTTATTTCTCATTAAAAGTTAGGGCTTGGGACCAACAAAACAAAGATCTGGGTGTCTATGCGGGTTTAAAGCATCACTTCCATCTTGAAGCTACCATCCATTTTATTGCCTCCTGTTTGGTAACATCTCGAGAGAAACTGGGTCCGCAAAAGCCCCACAAGCTCCCATTAGTGCCAGCAATCTGTTTACTCGTGAACACGACAAAGGCTTTTCCCAGGAGTTTGCTCCTACCCAGAGGTTAATGCCAGCCCTGCTGCTGTTGTTGGCTTTCAGACTACAGATGGAAACTAACTCCACCCTAGGTGCAGACAAAAAAAAAGGGGGGGGGGGTATCTGAGAAACACTGTAACTGTGTTGTGCCTGTAAACACTGCCAGCTCTTCCATTCACCATAGATGCAACTCCTGCCAAACTGAACAGTGATTCAGGAGCAGACAGACCACCAACGCCAATCCCATGATCTCCTAGCACAGAGGTCAGAAGGAATGTGTGTCCCAAATGCTAGTCACCTTCCAGATGAGCAGGGGCAGGGGGCTGTACTCACAGGCAAGTGCATGTGAGCCCACATGGACAGCTGTCTGTACACAGCCCATAAACCCTAACAATCTTTCTGTCTCCACCCAGCACAGCACTGGGGTTACAGGCCTGTGTGCAGCATGCCTAGCTTTTTATGTGAGTGCTGGGATCTAAGCACAGTGCTTACCCAGTGAGCCATTTCTCCAGCCCCAAGAGGCTCCCCCTTCCACACATTTGTTTGGTCTTTGCATTCCTTTCACCAGACTAAGTTATCCTTGCTTTGTCCCTTCTACAGTCTCAGCACTGCCTCTGATGGGCCTGTGTTCTGTCTGTCACATCTGTCTCTCACCTTTTCCTCTCAGCTGTTTCCAAGGCTTTTACTGTATGCAGCGTGAAAGTGTTGTACTTCACAGCACACCTCGGTGTCATCCTCTATATTGCCCTTGCACACCCTCTCCCATCCACCCAGTCACTCTGGGGGGAGCACCCCGCCACACACCTGCTGTAGACTCTGGGAGGATGCGGCAGAAATGCCCCAGAAGTGGATATTCTGGACCGTAGGGCATGCGCTTGCTGTGATGCACTGATTATGTTAGCATCAGCATAGCTTCCTCCGCTCTGCCCACACACAGACTACCAGGACTGCTCACCGACCATGCCAAAGGACGTAATGGCTGTTTTAGCACGACTCTTGGTTGGTTTTCTGGGTCTCCATATCTGTCTGTATGAACTGCTTGCTCAGCCTTTCGACCCCTTTCCTCCTGAGGTCATCTTTCACTGACTTGCAGGAGTGCTTTGTGTGCTCCTGACACCTAACCCTTGGCTGGTGTAACCCCACTGCAGATGCCATCTCCCAGCTCCTGGACCTCCATGCAGGCCCCTGACAACTCCTAAAGCCAGCGCAGCTAAGACAGAAGAGGGGGTAAAGGGAAAATGGGAAGTGAACTGCTAGTTCAAATCCTACATACTAAATGGAACAAAATATCTACAGGGCCATGAAAAACCTATATAGACCCTTTTAATGTTCCAAATAGAAGAAACAGAAAGACCTACCAGCTAAAATAAATGTTACAAAAGAATATTTGTTAAAACAGTATAAAATAAATCTAATAACCATGGTTTTTTTAATTGAAAACTTCATGATACAGAAAATGACAAAGAAGTTTGGGGGGGAAGACAAGGGGGGGAAAGACAGAAGCCCAAGGGGCGGAGCAGACATTTTACACGTGCCTGAGACTGGACCTTTAAGTAGAGTAATGAGGGCAGGGAGATGGCTCAGAAGGTAAACATGTTTGCCCTCAAAGTGTGAGGACTGGGTTCAGATCCTTAGAACCCACATAAAGCTGCCAGGGTACTGTGCATCAGTAATCCAGCACTCCCACAGGGAGATGAACCTGGGGAATGTGGGGACAGGAGAATCCCCAGAGGCTTGCAGGCCAGCTAGCCTGGCAAGCAAGGTAACATAAGGATCAGCATTCAAGAGTTATCCTCTGACCTCCACATGTGTGCCCTGGTGCACACACATGTACACATAATAAAAATAAACTGAAGAACCAGATTAGAATGGGGGGGGCAATCTTTTAAGTATGCAGAAGGGTGACTATTAAGTTCCTGCCAGCCAATACTTCCCTTAGGGTCCCAGGTGTCCCAATCCCAGGTCCTCAGCAGTGGGCAGGATGCAGACAGGAGCTCTGGCTACCTTTGAGACCAACAATGAGCAGGGCAAATCTACTTGGAGTTCTATCATCTGGTTCACCATGAGCCGGAAGCTGAAGAAAGTCCAGTATGGTACTGAAAAGTGGGAATCTTCAATCTGACCCTGTTGGAAGGACATAGACCCGAGACCAGGTAGCACAAACTTCTCCAGCATGGAGCCAACAGTCCCACGCTGTCCTAGGTCCACTGGAAACCCATCTGCTCAGCACTGGACTACGTTCCAGGAGTAGTGATGCTCAGTGCCATCGCCAGCTGGCCCACGGTCCACAAAGCCCACACCCAGCAGTTTCCAGGCTCTGGGATTTCACTCTGGCTTTGTTTGCATTTGTATTGGTTTTTAATTGCCTGGCTGATGTAAGACTGTTGGCATTTATTTTTCCCCAAGACCATTATAAAATAATACTAAACTACATAAATAAACCACACCCAGCATCACCTGCATCCTACCTCCCTCCTGGTCCACTCCCCAGCTCCTTGTTGACAAGCATCTCATAGCCCACACCACAGACACAGCCCAAGGGCTCAAGCAGCATGTGCTGACGGCCCCACAAACCAGACAGAAGCAGAAAAATCATCCATGGAACAGGACACAGGCCCATGCAGGTCACAAATGGAGATGCATGAAGGTGGCTATGAAGCCACAGTCCCCAGATTCTGTGCCTGTAGATCTCATGACAGTGATGGCGCACTTCCACCCAGAAAGGGCTGTTACGTAGTGCAGCGTGGGACACTAGCTAGAAGGCAGCCCTCCGCTGTCCAGATGGAGAGGAATGGAGCAGACTGGATACTTAAGACCAAACATACCAAGATAGATGTGGCAAAAGAAGGTGGCTTGCTTCTATCTGTCCACCTCCAGAGTGCATGGCCTCCCATTTCAGATCTGTGGCCTCAAATGTGAGGGTCTAGTTCCTCTAGACGTTCTCCCATCCAATATAATACAACACTTAAAAAGTATCAGGCTTTCAGAATACTTGCTTCTCTTGCAGAGGACCTACATCCGGTTCCTAGCATCCACAGGGTAGCTCACAGCCATCAGTTTCAGTGGAGCCCTCTTCTGAACTCTATGGTCGCCAGGCATGCAGATAAACATGCAAGCAAAACAATCCAACACATAAGAAAAAAATAAGTTTTTAAAATAAAAAATAAGAGAAAGAGGCTGGGAGGTAGCTCTGCTGGCAATGTGCTTGCCACACAAGCCAGGCAACCTGAGTTTGAGTCCACAAAGCCATGTAAAAAGCTAGGTACGGTGGTACACACTTGCAATCCTAGTACTGAGGAGGCGGGGGTTGGGGGGACCCTGGAGCTCACTGAATGGCTGAACCCCAGGCCCCAGTGAGAGAGACTTTGTCTCAAAAATAAGGTGGGTCATTTCTGAGAAATGAGCCAAGGTTATCCCCTGGCTCCAAAAGTGTCTCCATATGTGCGCCTATGGTTTGCCAGCACACACCAACGACAAACAGTAATAAAACAGCAGGCAGACCCCAGCTGGTGAGAATTAGAACTCTTCAGTTCTTCCTTTAAACACTGCCCCACACTTTGTTCTAATACAGTCTGAGAGCGTTCAGACACATCATCCTGGGCACCCCACCCCCAGCTGCAGCACAAGGCAGCATCAGGAACTGTAGCCACGGTCAGGCCTCACTTGAAATAATTAACTGGACCATGTTAAAATACAGAGCACAAGATCCACAGACGGGAGAAGCATGTCCTTCAGGTAGAAATATTTACGACATTTAACCGCTCACCACAGCTATTTACATTTATAAAATGGAAATAAAAATGACATAAGTTTGGTGCCAAAAGTGACACATCCAAACTAAGACCAGTACAAAAATAAACTTTCAAGCTACGGTTTTAAAATAAACATCATTGAAAGAGTAAGGGAGAGTCTGTCTTGTCGTGTGCTGTCACTGCAAGGCAACCCTGGTGCAGTGGGAACAGTGCCTGGGGAGCTGCCTGTGTTCTTGCAAGAATGCAAGCAACCGAACAGAGATAAATATACAAGAGTTATATGTTCCTGAGCTACACAAGTTTAGGGCTTCTAAACTGTAGTGAATTCCTGCTAAAGAGAAGCCCCATGGGGTCGAGGCTGATGAACGGTCCCTGGTGCCCAGCTACTGGCACCAGGATGTGGCATCGTGCTCTGAGAGAAAGCTAAGCCCACTTGCAAAGCAAGTGGCTAACAAAGACAGGGCTGTGAGTCCCGAGTGGCCCACCATCACTGCACTAAGTCCCCCACTGCAGACAAGCAGGCACGTGGGCAGAGGGAAGGAAGAAGCTGCTGCATCTGGAAGCCCCCGTGCCTCACACGCCTTTGGTGATCTTGATGGAAATGCCCAGCATTTCCTTGTATACTTAACACACACAGCAGCAGTCGATCTCAGCAGTCAAAAACTGTGGCCACAGCAGGCAGGATGCAGGAGGCCAGGAGAGCCCTGTCTACACAGGTCTGCAGCCTTCAGCAGCTCACTTTCCTCACCACAGAGCTGGACCAGGACTGTACCTGCTGGAGTAGCATGCCAGCTGCTGAGAGTGAGAACTGAGCCCAGAGCACAGCCCAGCCAACTCCTGCTTGGCCTACGCGCAGTGCTGCAGAACGCTGGCTATGCTCAGGCTCCTCTGGGGCCCAGTGAGGATGGCAAATGCTGAGGGGAGCAGAAAGGGGGGCTAATAAGCAGGGTGCAGCCCACAGCAGAGTGTCTGCCTGTTCCACCTGAGCTGGTGCCAGAGACAACATGAAGGAAGGATGCCACACTCTGCATCCCTGTAGCCTCTTCCTGAGCTCCACTCACTGGTCCTGGACCTTGGCCCTTTTGGCTTTCAGAGACAGGTGCTGCAAGAAAAAAGAAAACATCACTGGTGTGATGAGACAGGGAAAGCAGACTCCAGCCAAGCTCCCACAAGTCAAATCTCCTGCCTGGCTCACACCTTCCCAAGGCAGGCTATGCCCCAAACTGCAGAAGAGACAAGCAAAAATACACATGAAGCCTCCTTATACCACCATGGGCATCAGTTGACAGATTGAGAGATAAAAATTCTTTATCAAAAAGCCAAATCACTACAAGTTTTCAAATAAGTATTTATATGAACATAACTTCTAGTCAGGGGCCTTTTCTCACCAACTGAGGGGTGCTGACGTCTAGCAATAATGTGATCCATGGAGGCACAGACCCAAAGCTGAGCCAAGACAGCACTCAGGAACTCTTCCCAAGGGGATGCTGCACCCCCAACCACTAGTGCCCAAGACCCATGTCCTAGCAAATCTACAAGACCTCATAGTTCCCCAGAGAACTGCCAGCCCTGAAAGAAAACAGCACACCACCAATGACAGCATGCCCTGACAGAGTGACAGGCCCAGGTCTGAGGAAATAGCAGACTCCAGGCTTTCTACACACTTGTGCCTGGGAGAAGCAAGCATAGGTCTTCACACAGTGAGTCAGGTATCACTCTCCCTGATCACAACGGTCTTTCTGAGGCAAATCTGTGCGTTTGCTGCTTCTCTGGATTCTTTCCTCTCTGTTCTTTATCAGACACAACTCTAAACTAATCCTGGACATGTGTAGCCTTATCCAGGATGGGCGATGACAGCATCTGCCTGTGAGCCAGTTCTGGTACACTTCAGTGGAAAGAACACTGAGTATAAACAAAGTTGACTTTGAGCCATTCCAGGCCTCTACAGTGTGAAAGCAACTTTGAAAAACAAGTGATGGAAAGTCACTGGAGGTGCAGGAGGAGCATGCTGACACCTGAGGCTGAGCTGCTTCCAGCACAGCAGACCTGCCCTGCATGGGCAGCCCCTGGGAACCTGGAGAATCCCTGAGGAAGCAGCTCTACCTCCAGACCTCAATCAGAAAAGATGACAAGCTGTTGTGAAGAAGCTTCCGAGACCCCGTCATACAGCAAGGCTGTCGTTCTGGACGGTTTCTAAAGGCCCCAGCTCTTCCCAACAGTGTTGGCGATGGGCTAAAAGGCAGAAGTCTGAGAGAAGAGACAGATCACTGACCCTGTCATTTTCCTGCACATTCTGACACAATCTGCCCCTTAACCTAAATAAACTAATTTTGAGCTGAGACGGAAAAGTAACTCAGTTTGTCAGCCATTTCTACTCTCTGGGAGTCTCAAAGAACCCAGGACACTGCTGGGCTGTGCCTAACTGCAGGCGCCCTGCTATCCACTCACTGCCTGCCTTTCTCACTTCCTCTGACCTCTGGGGTAGGCTCCACCTTATGGGCTCAAACAAACCTCCTGCCTCAGTTCCTCTAGTAGTTGGACCTAAAGAGCACAGCAGCAGGACCGGCTCAACTCTTCCAAATTTTACACGAAGCAATCGGACCAATCTCAGCTTGAACTCCCTGTGCAGCCCAGTCGCCCTGATGGAGAAATGGAACTCAGATTTCCCCTGTGCTATAAACACCAGCTGGACTAAAACATCTGAAACAACTCGTAGCAAACAACTGGAAAACAAAGAAGACAGGACAGGACTCACAGTCTTTCTTTCTCCTTTTCTTTTGGGTGCTAGGGTCTGAACACAAAGCTAAGCATGTGTTCCGACACATACTGGTATCCAAACACACAGGCAGAGTCCCTGAAGAAAGCAACACAGGGGAGTGTCTGTTTTGGCTAGTCTCTGTCCTCAACTTGACTACACCTAGAATGAACTAAAACCAAGCAGTTCCTCATGGAACTAAACATCTGTGAGGGATTTTTCTTAATTAAATCATTTGCAATGGAAAGACCCACTTTTAATCTGATCTTCTGAGGTGGGACAATCCACCTTTAATCTGGGCCACACTGCTGGCAGCTATAGAAAGGACATGGAAGGGGGAAGCCTGCTCCTTTTGCCTGCTTGCTCTTGCTCTAGCTGACAAGTCCATTTCTTCACTGGCATTTGAGCCGACTTCTTCAGGATCCTGGCATATATTAAGCTGAGATATCCAGCCTTGTGGACTGAGCAACTACTGGATTCTTGGACCTTCTGTTGGTAGACAGCCATTGCTATACTAGCTGGACCACAGTCTGTAAGCCATTCTAATAAATTCCTTTTAGATAGATAGACAGGCAGGCAGGCAGGGAGACAGACATAGACACACACTGATTCATTCATTCACTCAATCAGTCCTGTCCCTCTAGAGAACCCTAAGTAACACATTGTCACATACATCCCAGGTCTCTCCCTAACTCTCCAAACTCTCACACAGGGAAGTAAATTCTTAATAGGAAACAACACAGGAGAGAAGAGGGTTTGGGGTTGCTGAGAAATGCATAAAATAGGGCATTAGAGCGGACATTACATAAAGCTATGCCAGTATCTGAAATGTGTAGACCAAGGCTTCCTAAGAATGGCAGAGAGCCATTATTGAAGGTATATGCTGGAGGTCTGCACACAGCTGGACAGTGGAGTGCTCATGGACCAGTGCACAGACATCACCAAGAGTCCTAGACATTTGATCAGACATTAAAAAAGAAGAAGAAAAGAAAAAGATTATACCTTACATGTCTGGCTAATACCTGCCCCATTAAAGACTAAGATAAAGGCTCAGCAGAATCCAGTTATGTGCCTATAAACTAACTGGCAGGAAAAAAATTGACATCATCTATAAAAAGAAATTTGAGATTCTATTAACATAATACCTATAATAACTAACATAAAACATAGACACAAAACTACTAGACAAGAAAAGCTTGTGTCTGGTTATGAGACGAGCCAAAATCCAATCAAGCCCTGAAGTGACAGCAATGCTGGGCTGAATGGCTTCTAAAATGTGTGTGTGTGTGTGTGTGTGTGTGTGTTCAAAGATCTGAAAATAAAGGTAGGCGTCCTGAGTGAACATGAGGCAGAGAGAAATCAAATACAAGAACAGAAATGTGACATGCCCAGGATCCCTCAGAAGGCTTAACAGCCAACAGAGCCCTGCAGAATCAACCAGTAATCCTGAAAAACTGTCCAAGAGAAGTTCAGGAAAAAACATCAGAGCCTTTGTGATGACTAAGACACAAACAAGTGCTGGATAGAGCATGTGTGTGACTGGAGCTTCAGAAGGCCAAGATTAGAGCAGAAAAAATATAGATTTAAAGGAAAAACCCCACATTCACCTAACATGACTATAAACATCTGCTTACAGATCTAGAAAGTTTGGTTAACCCTCAGAAGGAGACACATGAAGAAAAGTATCACATAGGTCAAATGGCTGGAAAAGGGAAAACCACACCTAAAGAGCACCTACAAGGGTGAAACAAGACCCACTGCAAACACAGGACGGCCAGAAGATGGCCGCTGGCTGCTCAGAGACACTGCGCACCAGATGCAAGAGATGAGAAACAGCAACAAAACTCACTCAGGGAAGAATTCCACGGAGGAAAACTCTCCTTCAACAAGCAGAGAGGATGCTCCACACTGAAGACACGCTAAAGGCAGGGATCCACACAGCCAGAAGGCAAAAGAAACGCTTTACTTTGTAGTCTGTGGAAGACACACTAACTGCTCAAGAACAATAACCACATACTGCCAAGTATAGTATAAACGTGCAGAAATAAGATACTGACCAGCAAAGCACAAAAAAAGATTTGGTAAAAAACCAGTAACCTGGTGTCGGTTTCCTACAGCACAGCTAAGCAGTGTGACACCAACTCACGATCAACCACGGGTTGTCAAAGACCATTAAGGAATAAAATACAGTACTTAAAAGTAAATTCATTAATTTGAAAAGCAGTAAAGTAAGTTTTTTAAAGCAACAAAGATTAAAACGGACTAACAACAAATAATTACATGCTTACAGTCGTCGGTATTCACTATGTACAACTTCCAGCCCCACCCACACATATACTAATAATTACACTAAAAAACTTACCGTTGCAATTCACTCAATCTCTTAAGTTAATTCATTGATGAAATGAATTAATTAGAGCACAGTGCAGACTGAACAGTCAGTCCGTGGCACACACCCGGCCGGGCAGCCTGCGGCCCCAGTTTACCTGCCAGTCTTTCAAGCATGATCGGCCATCTTTGAATTAAGTCATGTCAGACGGATGCATGGACTTTGGGGCACTGAATCAACCATTTTTACAAAAATGAAAAACAGAAACCTTAAATCCAAAGTGCACTGGCCTGTGGGGGAGCATGTCTCGGACTACACAGTGGGTTTCAACCCCCTTGGGCCTTTTCTTACAGGGTTGCAGGAGCTGTTTTTACCTGCACTTCCCTAGGAAGGCAAGGAAGGTGGTTTCACCAAGAGATTCTGGGGTACAGTAATAAGTTTACCTCCCTGTGTACGGGGTGCTGGAGGGAGCTGGGAATGCTTAAGGGTACTATTGAAGAACACACATAGACTTAAGACTATGAAGACACTGCTGTTTGTCTGGGGCCATGTTCTATCCATTCCTACCGTTCCTTGTTGATAAAAGTGGGGAGCCAGCTCCAGCAGCCACGCAGATTCTATGGCAGTCACATCTCGCATGTAATACTTGGAGGTCTGTATAACTTCATTGTAGATAACCCTGAAACAGAGAATACACATGAGACACACAATGACAAGGCCCACAAGCCGTCTCTGTCCTCACCACGCAGGCGTGTTCCATCGTGTGTGCAGCTCTACACACAGGCACTGTGGCTGCTCACACTAAACCAAGCGGTAGGTCAGTGTGTCTCAGAGGCCACTCAACATCCTTTGTGATTTCCACGGCTCTCCAGGTATCCACAAAGAACCTTTCTAGATCACAGCCTGCACTTACAGAACTCTGACTAGAACTTGAAAGACTTAGTTACAAAGTACAGAAGTGGACTTAAAGGCTTGCTGTTCTGAAAGTTACTGGAAATGACTATAAAGACATAAACAAGAACTGTCCAGAGCGACAAAAAGTATTTTAAATATAGTTTGGCGTGGAGCTTGCAGGTCTGTCAAAACATACCTTCACTGTACATAATTACATCTTAAAGAGGAAAAAAATATATATATATATACCAAAGTGTGTTACTAGGACCAACCAAGTAACAAACCAAAGAGCAAGGAACATGTTTTCAAAGCCCTGGACTCAGGAATTCATAGAGTAAACACTAGTTTCTGAACTATGGGAAGAATTTTATATAAATACAAAAGCCACACAGTTTGTCTCAAACACCAGTAAAGGCATCTGAGCTGGTGGAAGGAAGAGGCAGGGCTTGGGGGTTCAACTCTAACACAGGAAGGGAGGGAAGAAACGAGGGAGGGAAGGTGTGGACAGGAGAGAAGTTGGGAGTGGGATGGAGGGAAACGGGAGATGGAGAGAGGGAAAGGGGCACACTGAAGCCTGGCTGGTCCCTTCTGGACTTCTACATTCTCATAGCAGCATAGAAACCATTGTAAAGCTAGCACCTCTGCCACATTCCACCTAGGAAGCTTCTAGGTCTGACTGGTCACAGCTTGGTCAACTGCAATACATCAGAAACACTACCAGGACTTGTTTAAACAGTTTTCTCTGCCTCGGCCTCACCCCAGTTCTGAGTGAGGAGGGCTGGGTAAGATCCAAGAACCTGCATTTGCAGCATGGTTCTGGATGCTGCTGCTGCCTGCAGAGCAGGGTACAAGGTCCCGACACTGGTGCTCCCAAGCTGTCCTTCCCACAGCTCACCACACACTCCTGTCTCAGCTCCTAAAGAGCCAAGTGTTGCTGTCTTTAAATTTTCTAATCCTTTGTCAATCTGTATTTTTGTAAAATACAATATAAATAAATTAGAAATCAGAAACAAACACAAACTACAAGATGAACTTAGCACAGATCTGGGAAGGTCTATCTGTGTGTGACTTGTGAAAACACCGTAAAATATCTGTACTGTCTCCTGCTACTGCACTTGTCTCACCAGCATCCCAGCCAGCACTGCAGATGGAACCACACCCTGGTCACCTCATTCCCAGTCCCCCAAGCCAGGTGCCTCCCTCATGTTGCCACAGCTATGCTACCCTATTTCCCAGGTGTGGATGTCTTTCAGTCCTGCCTAAAACATGCCAGTCACCAGGTCCAGAGCAAGGGTTAGCTTCTCCATGAGAATCTGTATAGCCTGGCTTCCTGGCATGTACAGCAATGCGCACACTGCAATACCACAGCCCTTTCTTTAGAAAAGCTTCTCCTACAGGACCTCAATCTATTCGCCTGTTAAGACTACAGCTGGGTTCTAAGTCATCTCTGCACACTGTACCTGCTACAGTCGGTCTTCAGTCTGTGGTGACAGTGAGCACCTTTGTTGTTTCTTGACACATCTTTTATTTTAGCAGGAGTTGCCCCCCAACCCACAATCCCTCTGTCACTAACAAAAGTACTTTGTTGGGAGGACAGGTGAGGAAGTACTCATCAATTTGCTGAAGGAGATTTTTGAAAAGAATATTTTACTGAGCACAGTGGCTGGAGGACTGTCTACCTTTAGGGGACCCTAGACAAGAGTACAAACCCTGCCATCCCAGCACATCAAAGTCAGCACAGCGGAGGAGCACCTGTACTGCAAGCCTCGGCCAGGCTCCAAGACAAGATGAGCAGGGCCAAGCTCAGTGGGGGAGGGGCTTACCAGCGGGGTGGCTTCTCTGCGTACAGGACTGAGGCAGGGTGGATGTGCAGCTCGTGGTCATCACGGATAGTCCTTGTGAGACACAAGAATTCTGTGTGAAGCACACTGTATGCACTTACTGTAAGAACTTGTAATGCTGAACACATTTAAGTATTTTCCCACGATGTGTTACAACCTGCTCCCCCAAACGTATGAAGACAGAATTTTATGTGGACAAGACACTACTCTATAGAGCAGTGGTTCTCAACCTTCCTCAGCCTACAATCCTCCAACACAGTTCCTCATGCTGTGCTGACCCTCAACCATAAAAATTATTTTTGTTCCTACTTCATAACTGTAATTTTGCTACTGTTATGAACCATAATGTAAATATCTGATATGCAGGATATCTGATATGTGACTCCTGTGAAAGGGTTGTTAGACCCCTAAAGGGGTCACAACTCACAGGCTGAGAGCCACTTTTCTAGACACACCTCTACCACCACTACCATCTTAGAAGCCAAGAATAAATCATGCAAAATAAGGAACCAGGCCAGCACAGGGGGCATAAATGTAATGTCAGCTATCTCAGGTTCAGGTTGGGGCCAATTCGGGCAAGACCTGTCTCCTGCCAAAACAACGAAGTGTGTGTGAGGTTTAGCTCAGCAACACAGAGCTTGCCTGGCATGTGCAAAGCCTGGACGTAATCCTCAGTGTGGGAGGGGGAGCAAATGTGGACACTTAGACCCCACAGGAAGAGAGTGAGCTAGCCACACTTATGTCTATCTTCTATAGATCCCCTTTCAAAATAATCCCTTTACAACAGAAACGCTGAGTTTTAACAGACTTCCCTACTACCCAGTTAGACACTAAACACTAAGGACCCTAAGGAGCTAAGACTGAACCCAGCCAGCTCACACAGGCCAGTTCCTGTAGAATACTTATTTCTAATTCCAAATTATATTTGGTTCAATCTGATTCAAAAGTGACAAAGTAGACAGTCAGATACTTATATGAACAGCTTCTAAATGTTAGCAGACTGGAATGTCACTTACTGAGTACACATGGTCATTTCACATGGGGCTCTGTATCAGGCTCTTCGCCTCACCCTAAGACAGCCTCTGGGGTCTGTCAGATGATAGTGGGCTGACAATAAATCCACTTCAAAGGAATGACTGACCTGGAATCTCCAGTGGAGTACCTTTTGTTGAGGATGCCCATGAAAGTGTTGTAGGCTAGCCACACAGAAATAGTTGACACTTATCAAGAAAGAGGGACAATCAAAGCGATGAGAGGGAGGATCACTGGGGAGGAGCTCAGCCTCGTAGGAGTGGGGCTTGTGTGATGGGCAAGAGCATCATGGGAGTCATGACTGCAGAGTGTGGTCTGGAGTGACAATGCGCACCACAGAGAGGTCATAGGCTATGCTGCCAAGTTCACAGTGTCACACCGGGAAGATGGGGGGGGAAATGGCTGCCAAAATTAAAACCTCTCAGTGGGGGATGGAGAGATGGCTCAGAAATTAAGAGCACTGCTTATCTTCCAAGAGACCAGAGTTTAATTCCCAGTAGTCAAATGGTGGCTCATATGTAACTCTAGTCATAGAGGATTTGACACCCTCTGGCCTCTATGGGCACCAAGCACACATATGATACACAAACATACATGTAGACAAAACATACATACACACACACACACACACACACATTTTTTCCCCTTAATGCTCAGTAGGTTCTGTAGTGTCTAGAAAAAGGAATCTGAGCTGGTCTCAAATAACAAATAACAACATTTTTGTTAGAGGGGGAAGCTAACTGCAAAATAATATATGGAAGAAATACAAAGGGGAGATAGAAGAAAGCCTTTAGATTGTTCCCTTGCTAAAGACAAAAAGGTGGCTAGTCTTGGTGACAGAAACCTGTAATCTCAACTCCTGAGGATGGGGGGAACTGAGGCAGGGGGATCACAAGTTCCAGGCCAACCACAGTGAGAAGGAAGAGCTCAGGAAGAAAAAGAAAACTTAGCAGAGCTAGGGTGAAGTCTAGTGGTAGAGCACTTGTCAGGCCCTGGGCTCCACCCTGAGAAATGGGTGCAAGGACAGCTACACCTTAAATAGGTGCAGAAGTTACAAGACCACAGTAAGCCAGAGGGACAGAAGAAACAAACTCAAAGTAGCAAACAATTCCAAGAACCGGGATATTTAGCCTGGAGAAAAGTGGACTAAACTATGCTGTAGTTCTTACAGTATAAACTACTGTTGGCATCCTACAGAAATGGAGGACAAAGAATAACCCATTGGGAAAAGTGGCTTCTCAGTTAACGGCTACTCCCACACTGCCATGTAGATCTGTCACTGTCATCCAAACACCATCACTGTGTAGAGATGCTCTGAGCAGTAAGACTCGCAGAGAGCAAAGGAACTGCAGAGAGCAGGGCAGCCAGCCTCACTCAGCTTTGGAAGGAGGCATGATGCAAGTTAAAAGCTGCTCGGTTTCCATCTCTGCACTGCATCTTTCTGTCCCCGTCACCAAGCCACCTCAGAGTCTCCTTACCTATACGCTCCAGTGGAGTGAAACCGTGCTGCATTTGCAAAAAACCCTGACACGATACACCTCAGGACTGGATCCGGATCACCTACACAAGGCAGCAACAGATGCCTGGTGAGACCCAGCACTGGCCCCATCCCACGCTCCACATGCCAAGGCCTGGGCTGTGATGCACAAGATCCAGGCCCAGCTCCCCTCCCCCTCCCAACCCACCTAAAGCCATCTCTGAACACAGCCCTGTGCTTCCCATGTCTGATGACTGCCCAGCATCCAAGGGGGCATCCTCCCCCAGCAGTGGCTAAGGACAAGGCAGGTCTGTCCCTGTAACTAGGGCCTCTTCAACCCCAGGCCACAGAGGACTGGACCCAAGAAGCTGCCCCACCGATGGCTGGTGAGCTCAGAGCACTGTAGAAATGCCTTCTTCCCCTAAGACACATGCCATGAAAGCACACTGCCCGTCTCTGGTTGTCAGCTAGTGGGCAATTCTCTACCACTTCCAAACATTCTGTTCCTTTTTTAACTGACATTTCTACTGTTACAGCGAACACAGCTTTCATGAATAAAGCATCTCCAGTCACTAGCTCATAGCATGAGATACATTCTAAATTATCATGCAGGGGATAATTATGTTTTAATGGCTAAAAATGCCCCTACTTCACCAATTCTGAGCCATTTAACTCGCTCGAGTCAAGACACAGTCACAATAACAGCCATTCTCTTCTCAGTGAAACACAATTATGGATACCCATCTTAGCTCTGGTGAAGTACAGCACAGGGCAAACATGTCCCTATGGGTGGGAGCCTTACAGGATTCTCAACAATATATAAAAAATCATTTCATTCAATTCTTTCTAGCAGATTTTGGTCAAAGAGGGGGCTGGGGGGCACTACATTCTTTTATTTTTTATAAATTTAATTACTACTTGGTGAATTTTATATTCTAATCCTTTGATTACCTGTCAAATAGGCTCAATAAAGTCATTTAAAAATACACTTAAGTTTTTAATTACATAACTGCTGAAAACACATCTCACTACTCTCTCTAACCTCCTAGATGCATTTTGATTTGCAGGTAATCGTTTGGTCTGTCTGTCTATCATTGCTGTTCCTAGCAGAGCTGCTAGGCCTCAAGCCTGCACTCTGCCCTCCACCCACCCAGATGCGGCTTCTCTGCAGCTGCTCAGAATCCCATATACAACATGCTTTCTTCTCAGGGGCACTTCATAAACGGTGAAAACTCTTTATTATAATAGTCTGTGACCCTCAACACTCAACTTCATGCCATCTAGTTCCTTAGCACGCCATTCCTCTTATTAGGAAGACTTTTAATCTAACATAGCCCTTCCCTGGGCAGTGAGAGTGATAGGTGAAGGTATCTGCCAGGCGACAGGACTCTTGGCAGACGCTCTCAAGCTGGCAGCCATTCTAAGTGTCCTGTTTCTGCCCATGACACTGACATGGCACCCTGGGCAAGCCCTGCTGATTTCTCCTTCCCTACATTTATTTCTGCTATTTGCCACTGTCTTCCATGGTTACTTCTAAAAGGCCCTCCAGCCTAACAGTTTGTCTGTCTCCATGAAGCCTGAGAGAACCAAGTTTTTGTCATTTTTCAATCACTTGCTCTTAGTATAAAAGCAAAATGAAACAAAACTTCCTGGATCCTGCCTCTCACAGGCTACCTCTAGCCTACTCATTCTTTTCCTTCTATCCATGAGATAAACCTAGCACACATTTCCCAGAATGCTAAGCACGATGAAAATGAACTCATGACACACTGAGAACACTGCCCGGCCTAGCAGACGCTGTCAGCAAATGTCAACAGGCGCTGGGGTACAGCAGGCTTCAAGAGTGCTGAATGAACTCAGTGTGCCACTTCCTAGAAGCCTCCTGGTCTCTGGCCAAGCTGGCTAAAGCTGTATTATCCTGAAGGTCATGTGACTGCTCCAGGACCTCCTGGTTCCTCTGTAAACTAAGGACACCAGCAACCTCATCTCAAACAAAGGAAGAAAAGGAGAGGACGCAGAGACCCTGACATGATACAGCCTACTGTGGACTCCACACATGGCTACCCCAGCCACTGCTGCACGCTAGACCGTCTGGCACAAAGGTGCTCTACCTTACCGTTGGTGAGTGCCTAAGCTAACGCCTGGCAGCGTCTGCTTAATAACACTTGCATCTGAGAAGAAAATGCAATCTTCATGTAATACCTATGAATACCATCCACTTAAAAGTAATTGTTCAGGACTGTCAAGATGATTCAGCAAGTAATTACAGGCAAGCCTTAGGACCTGAGTTTAGTACATGGCAAAAAAAAAAAAAAAGACCCATCTGTGTGCCCACTACACACACACAAACACACACACACACACACACACACACACACACACACACGCTAGCACTTGCAGAAGCAGGAGGATCAGAAGTTTAAAGTCATCCTCAGCTATGTAATAAGTTTGAGGTCTGGGACATGAAACACTACCCCAGAAAAAAAAAAAGTAAATTTTCTGCAACAACCATCATTATATTAGTTATATGTGGAATGATATGGAAGCTAACAATTTTTAAGCATTTTCATGAGCTTTAGAAATTTAGAGGAAGGAGTAACAGCCCACAGAAATAAAAATGGATCTATCCAGAAAGACACCAGCCTTACACTCACCACTGAATGGGTGTATGCAGCTCAGAATGTGAAACTGGCTGCAGGCACATGGCCTCTTAGCAGCCCAACTGGACAGAACAAAGTGGGGGTAAGCCACAGGCGGGACAGGCCACACCCACCTTCACTGGACACCTTGGGCACTTGGAACTTGACGAGGAGCTTTTTCAACTGGTCTCTCACAGTGGCAGCTCTGACAAGACCCTTGTAATTCAGGAAATGCTCCTGACACCACTGCGAGCTCTTGTTGTGCTGCAGAGAGGCCACACAGAGGAGACATTGGCCATGTCAGACACCCACAGCCCAAGCAGTACCATCAACATAACTCCTTTCTCTCCCCCCACTTTCTGGCTTGATGAGACCTGCCCAACCCCCTCTCTAGAGCAGATGGTAACAACCAAGCAATCAGTCTGTTGCTCCACGACCCCACTCTCCACACTACCAAGCAATAAGAACAGAGAGGCAAGCAGAGGCCAATCTAAATACACCACAGCAGCGGGGTCTGATCTGCGGCCCCGTGGCTCTCAGCCACTCTGTTAACTTTCTTTCCCTCTCACCTTATTAAACTATAGGAAGCAATACAACATGTGCAGAAATCATTTTCAAATCCTGATCTGCACTCAAACTAGGATTTTTTTCTACCAATGATGCTTAACTTTCTATTTTCTTAAGCCCAATGATTATGTCTTGTTTTAAATTTTTGCAGAGCAATGTAACTCTAAAATTACATTTTTGGCTATGGTGTAAAGTTTTTCATATAAAATTTTTAAATGTGTTATTAATTAAATGTTTTAAATTAAATGTTTAAGTAACATTTTAAAAATGTAATTCACGGAGGATTTTTCCACAAGGCAACCAGAGACTAGCACAACACAGATCTGTAGATGCGCCCTCTATGTGAAGCTGTGCCTTGGTGACGGCACACTGTGCCTGTATCCTGGATTGTAACTGACTCAGTCTGGACCTCAGTTACTGACTAATCTCCTCAAATCTCTAGTAGAAAAAAACCTTGCTATTTCTCTCTTTTTTAAATGTGCTAAATTACTGAAAATATTATTGAATGATATGAAATATTATTCCCTTTCCATTATATTATGTTTTAAGAGCTTTATATCACTGTTTAACTTTTAAGTGGGAATTTTAGGTTCTGTGACTTGCTCTCAGTCCCACAGAGAGGCTGCCCAGGAGGAGCACGCAAGTTTCACTGACCACGCTCTCAGGAAACCTGGGATGACTCTCAAGAGCCCACAAAGCAGTGGTTCTCAGCCAACCTGGCAGAGAACTTTCCATTCAAATGCTGCCCTTCCTTCTAAACACAGTTAGTGTGGGACACTGGAAGGCCGGGCTATCAGCCACTTGAGAAAAGAAACCCTCCCTTAGCTTCTCCAGCAACTCGAGACTGGAATCTCCAATGGGAGGCTGGTGATCTGCCTAACTGGAAAACAGAGGGGTCTCTTGGCCAGGAATGTGTGAACTACCCTCTGACCTTGTTCCTAGGTCACCAGAGTGGGTGTGATGTGTGGAGGGTCCCCAAGTGTGGCTGAGCTTACTTTGATAAACGCTTCATACACATTGAGCATGGTAAGATGGTCACCCTCTTCCACAGCAAATTTCCGGTGCACTCGAGTCTGTGAAGAATAAAGTTCCATCAGAGGTTGACTTCCATGACCCTCTTGTGCTGAGGGACATGGCACACTGCAGGAGGGCTGACAGCTTGACCTCCTATGTCCAAAGACCATATGCTGTTCACCTCCTAAGCTCCCTTCAGACCCCACCCTTGAATTCTTTCTGTGGCAAAGTTCCTGAATAATGCAATTTGCTTCCTGGAGTTGAGGAGATACAGATAGAAGAAACATACAGCAAAGATGCAGACCCATTAACTTCAGAACTACATCTACACTTGGGTATGGGTGACAGTATACAGTATACAGGAAGGTATGTAACCATGCTTGTGAAATACTTCCCATGATACACAGCAAATTCAAGTACAAACCAGGCTCTTTTATACAACTGTCTTCAGTAGTTTCTAACAGAGTCCTGACAAGAATGTGCAAGAGAACAGTGTGGTCGGGCAGTGGTGGCGCACACCTTTAATCCCAGCACTTGGGAGGCAGAGGCAGGTGGATTTCTGAGTTTGAGGCCAGCCTGGTCTACAGAGAAACCCTGTCTTGAAAAGCTGGGGGGAAAAAAAAAAAAAGAGAACAGTGTGAAGAGCCCGGGGAGAAGCTGAACTTACCGCCTGAGACTTCTGGTTTGAAGGGAACATGAAGACATTCTGGATCTGCATCATGGCAGCAATACTCAGGACTTCCTGAGAACAGCCGAAGTTCCCTAGACCATGAAATGCATGTTTGCAAACAAACAAAGCACCAACAGGAGAGAAGGCCATTTCCCAATGCATTCCTTGTAGTGTGCTATAAAATATGGTCGAATTTTATAGTTCTGTTTTTCAAGTCTCTCATACATAAGTACTTATGGTACCATCGATGACCCCCACATGTCTCAACTGAGAATTCCTCCCTGCAGTGCTAAGGCTGAGGGCTCTTGATGCCAGTCAGGATGGGACCACACCGGCCTGTCACCAAGGACAGATCAATGGCATGCCTGCTCCCTGTCCTCTCTATGGACACTGGAGTCCAGGTAAAAGCACAGAGGGAAAGGGAAGGAAGTATAGGGCTGTGTTTCTCCAGCTGTTCTTCCACAGCCGGCCCATCTGTGACGTAGCCTGCCTCCCCAAGTACTGCTCTACTCTGGGAAGACTGCAGCTTGGGGTAGCCGAGACAGCATCCTGAGCTGCTGCTGCTGCCTCTTGAGAACAGACTCTGTAATAGCTCACTAAGGAGGACACCAGACCAAGCAAACTGTACTCCTATTGGCTCCCCAAAGCTCCCTGCCTGTCACGTAGCCACTGTGGTACATGGTGTTTTGGCAGTTAAAGTTAGCACAGCAGTTTTGGAAAATACATGGATGTTCCTCAGAAACCTAGAACTGAGTGGTCACATGATCCAGAAACCTTGCCTCTGGGTACACCCAAAAGAACTGAAGTTGGTATGGAGGGGACGCACACCCTGGTGTCCACTGCAGTCATGTGGAAGCAGCCTCATGTGATCGGTGGAGGGATGGAGAAAGACGGCATGATCCATGTGGTGTAACTTACTACACAAGCTTTAACAAGGTAAATCCTGTTGTCCAAGACAACACGGACCACAGTGGAGTGTGTCAGGCCAGCACAGGGCACACACTGTACAGTTCAGTAATACATGGGAGCACAGTAGAAAGGAGCTGGTCCAGGCTGGTAGGAGGATGAGAGACAAAGATGGAGATGTTGCTTCAGGGACACAGTTTCAGGCTGGAGGAGTGAGTTGCAGTGACCTGACACTATGGTAACCACATCATGGTGTACAGTTCAAATTGCTACAAGAAAGTCCATAATGTACTAGATGTGCTAATTACCTTGACTGAAGCTTTCCACTATACAAGTATCAAACATCACACTGTATCTTATAAACACACATCTCATCATTAGTCAAAAATAAGCACTTTATCACCGTTGCCACTTTTAAACCACGATTGGTCCCTCCTCCCTGGGTACACAGAATTCAGAGGAACCAACATGAAGTCAAAAGGAGCTGTCAGGCTCCACCCACCTGACTCCAGCAGCATCTTGGCAAACATGGGGTTCAGAGGAAACTCTGCAATCCTCATGCCAAGCGGCTCAGTTAGGCGACAGTCTTTGTCTAGACCTGCCAGAAGAACAGAAGAAGTCAGGAGGCATGCACCACTGTGCTCAAGATGAGCAGCCGCAGGGAGAATAAGAGATGACTCACTGCTGCTAAGTGCAGCCTGACCTGAGGGCCGCACATGGGAAGAGGAAGCAATCGCTGAGCTCACCCCAGTTCAAACGATACTGTTAAGGAACTCTATTCAAGGACCTCGATATAGGCAGCAGCCTGCACTTCTCCTGCTCCCTCTCTCCCCACAGGATGCTCCACAGAAACTGCCCTCTGTGGGTCTGAGAGATGGAAGCACAGACGTGGCCTCTGTCCACCTCCAGCCACTGTCACTGCAGACTACTTCTCACTGCTCTCCTCAGTTCCCACAATATGGGCCCTGTTTCCTCACCTTCTGGATCTTACTCCATAGCTGGGAGCTGGCAGGCCACAAATATTCAAAGATACTGCCTCAGAAGTCCAGCATCCTCACACCATATGAGCAATCACAGGGCAGGACACTCAGAATCTGAACTCTAACCCTTGAAGTAGACAGACTACTCCATCTTTCCAGCACTTCCCCCACCACCTCCACCTTTCCCCAGGCCTCTCTACCAACCACCACTATCAGACACAAGATTCCTAAGAACCCCAAGATACACACGACAGTCTCACTGATCAAAATAAGTGCTCCGAAAGCTTGGGATGTGCCCAAAATGTTAAGTCTTTCTATTCCAATACAACTGTCTTTTTGAAATCGGGGCTCCCCCAGCACCCTCCAGAATGTTTCTATCTGAGGACAGTCTGCCTGCTGTGTGACTTTCAGAGCAACCACTGCAGAGGACAGATGACATGTCATCAACACACCCTGATCCTCAGTTCACATAGCCCTGTCATATGCTCAGAGCTGGGGACAAAACCCTAACAAGACACACACTACAAGCTGATGTTAATGTCCCCAACGTAAGACCTCTCTCATTGGTGGAGTGCTTTTACAGTCATGACTGATGATTCCTTCAGAGAAAGAAATGTAAATATAATAAATGAAAGTGGATCCCTCCCTACACACACAGACACACACATACACACACACATGCACGCACGCACACACCAGAACAAATCAGACTCAAGTACAAGAGCAACAACTCAGAATAAAGCCTGTGAGTCAGATGTAAAGAGTCAGCAGTGCTGTTTCCCTTTGCTTGTCTGGCTGCTGCTGGTGCTCAGGATGTCAGGGGCTGCACTCAAAGTCTCGAACACACCAAGCACATACTCTCTCACTGAACTAGGACCCCAAACCCACATCAGTGAGTCCTTAGACATGAAAACACAAACACAAGAGGCAAAAGAAAAGCAACAAGGTGGCAACTGTGACCTGCACGCGATGCTTCCAATATTTAAATCTCCAGTATTTACGATCACACAGGAGATCTGTAATCAGAACATGCAAAGAACTCCAACTCAGGAGTAAAGACAGTAGATGGCAGCACGCAAGCTGAATTGACATAGTGCTGGGCACTCTACAGTCAATCTCCGTGTCTATGGATTCCATACCATTAGATTCAACCAATTACTGTGTAAAACATGAGAAAAGCAACTGTCTAAACAATCACACACAGTCTCTTTACTGTCATGGTTCCCTAAACACTACAGGAGAATAACCAATGACACAGTGTTTACACTGTGATAGGTATAAGAAACCTAAAGATAGCATAAAGTATATGGGAAGCTGGGTGAGTTATGTGCAAATGCTATGCCATTTTACACAAGACGTGAGTGAGCATCCCTAGGTTTCTGGTATCTGAAGGGAGTCCTAGAAGGAAATAACCATCTACAGAGAGACTAGAGACAGTGACTAGTCTTGCACACTGACTTGCAAAGAAGCAGAAAGGTTCTCAATATCGAAAGTCATCAGAGACATGCAAATCAAAACTGCCAGACACCATTTCATATCCGCTAGGTCAGCTGTGCTTAAAAGACAGACAGTATCAAATGCAGAGAAAGCTGGGGGCAGGAGGATATCCACCAAGCCCCACACCCTGATGTTCACAAGGGCATTATTTATGTAGCAAAAAAGAAACAATTCACAACACCCACCATCTAATGAACAGAAAAAAATCACTATGTGGTATGTCCATATGCTGGGATATTACTCAGCAGGAAAAATAAATGCTCCACTGATACAAGTGATCCATGGGTAACCTTAGAGAGCTAAGGGAAAGAAGCAATCCACAGAGACAACCTGAGATTCCATTTCTAAGCAATGTTTCAACTAGACAAAGCCACAGAGTCAGCAGGTTAGTGATTACCTGGGGCCAAAGAGGACAGGAGTGAGAGTAAGCACTAAGAGAGACACATTTCTTTTCAGAATGATGAAAATATTCTAAAATTAGATTACACTAAAGACAGCACAACCCTAGGACAACAGAAGCCCTTGAACAGAAAGCTGTAAGGAGTGAACTGTATGGCACATGGTGTATGCCTCAATAAAGCGATTTTTAAAATACTCAAGACAAGATCTCAAGGCAAAGCCTCCATTAAAACTTACTGACAAACTCAATCCTCAGAGAACAACCCCAGAGGCCTCCACTCATAAAAAACATGGTACCTTCTGAGCTTAGCTGACACCATTTTCTCTTAAGATACATACTGTGTTTTCAAATGAACAAGCAGGGCTTCCTGCACAGCAGAGTGCCCTTGCCAGAACAGTACTGCCTACCGCCCAATTCCCACAGGAACTCAGGGAGGAAATAAAGGGGATTTCAGGAGGGGCTGAAAATGGGAAAGCAGTCTTAGGACAAGAACTGGAGTGTGTAGAGATCTGCCAGTCTCTGGGTGTCTCTGTGAAGTGTGGCCCTGGTGATGGCCCTCTACAGCTTCTGCCACGCTTTACAAATTATCATATTGGCCATATGGTGGTGAATGAAAATGGCCTCCACAGGCCTATAGAGAGTGGCACTATTAAGAGGTGTGGCCTTGCTGAGTAGGTGTTACCTTGTTAGTGTGTCATTGTGGGGTGGACTCTGAGGTTTCAGACACGTAAGCTAGGCCCAGTGTCACTCTCTTCCTGCTGCCTGTGGATCCAGATGTAGAACTCTCAGCTACCTGGCCAGCACCATGTGTGCCTGCTGCCACCATGCTCCCCACCATGATGACAATGGGCAAAACCTCTGCACTATAAGCCAGACCCAGTTAGATGTTTTCCTTTATAAGAGTTGCCATGGTGATGGTGGCTCTTCACAGTAGTAAAATCCTAAGATGGGCCATGAGCTACTTTTGCCGTATTTCTATTTCAATAGAGTAAATGTCACCAAGAGTTTATTATACTCATGGGGGGGACCAATCCCATTCTTAAAAGACTCTAAAAAGAATGCTAATTTAAGTCCAATTATCTATCATCACATAGGTGACATCACATAGGTGAGGTGAACACATGAGAAACAGGCTTACCTCCGAGAGCATAGAGCAGCTCCAAGGCTTGAACCATCGACTGTGCTGGCGGGGGCTGTGAAACACACCAAAGGCCTTCCAGATTAGTTTGCCAAGCAACGGAACACGTGACCACACTGGCTCATTCTCGTACTATCACACTCTATCTTCCCCAGGCTCCACGCTGCTGGTACCTTGAAATGTGCCTCCCACCTTTGTAGCTTCATTGGTGGTGCCTGCAGGAACCCACCTCTGGCCCCGGCCCCACATCCATTCCTCTCCTACATCAGCGGGGACAGCTCCTCTTTTAAACTACCCCTTCACTTCCCTAAGCTGCCCTCAGCCTTCTGAACTTGGAGCTGCAGACCCTGTAGCACGGCACAGACAGAGAAAGGGCCTTGCCAAGAGCAAGCTAGCATGTGACATGTTGAAACTGCTAAAACTGCAGACAGCGCCAATGCTGCAAAGGGCAGCAGGCTCACACTGTGAGCTGTGATGGGTGCACTGACGCCTCTTTCCTTCCCTCCAAAGTCCTCACAGAGCACAGGGGTGTCAGGCATCAGGGGACTCTTCCTAGTTAGCCAGCTGACAAGACCAGCACCTTTCCAGACTGAACTGCCTTGCCTCCAAATCTGCAATGCAACAAGCACTTTAAACACCAGAGTGATTTAACTCGACTTCACAGATGAAGATTTAGAGAAGGCTTTGCAGCACTTGATGGCTGGGTCAGAGGCTAAACTAAGTCCTTGCTTTTAGTTGTTTAGTTATTTACCAGAGAACAAAGTCTAATCTCTAAGAGGCTTGGTGACTGACTATATAGACTTTACATGTGGGCCCTACACCTGACTGGCTACCCTCAGGGGAGCCAAGGAACCACTGCAAATCAAAACAGCTGAACCAAGCTTCCCTCAGCTGCCAGCCACTTTGTTCTTCGGAGAGGCAAGGTAGGCACAGTGGGGAGCTTACAGATCTGGAGCTCTGCTGTGAGAAAGTAAGAGGACAGCAAAGCACCACACTTGTGTGCCTGGGTTCCTGTGGCACACGGTCCTGTTCTGTCTTTCGTACTGACAGGAGCTCCAGGGTAGGCATTTGGGACCACTACACAATCCCAAGCTACCATCAGACTACAAAGAAGTCAGCTTTTCTATAAGTGGGCAGATGACAGATACAAAACTATGTATATTTGCCAAAAACATGACATTAGAGTGAAGTCATACTTTACTATTTAACAGCAGACTCATGGAAATTACTAACAAATATTAGCAAATAAATAAGCTTAAAACTGTACATGAACTATAAAGTGACCAATAAACTTTAAAAAAAATCTACAAGAACAATGACTGTAGCACCTTCCCCACTCATCCTCACTTCACCTGAGCACCTGAGAGAGCATATGTAACAGGAGCACCCAGGCCAAGCCTTGCATGCTGCTGTGGGGAGCCTAGGAGAGCTGGGCATTGTCGGGAGCAACCCTGCTTATACACTGAAGGCCTAAAATCAGCCATAGGCCTAAAATCAGCAATAGGCCTGACATACATGCCTGCTAGCACCAAGTCTTGGGTCTCTGTGGAAAAACACTGAAACAGATAGCTGGGAGTTATTGTAAAAAGACAGCTTTGGTGGAAGGCTGCCAAGCCTGGCTAGTCATAGGCCTTGTAGATGGGTAACCTTGGTGGATAGTACCAACTTAGATAAAGACAAGTGAATCATAGGCAGAGTCATAGTGGTCTGTCCCCTGAACCTTCACCCAGCTGACACTCTGTTCTGGAAGAGATCTGTATTCCCCCTGAACACCCACATTCCTGCGTCATCCCCTTCCCCACATCCTGCCTTATTGTGTATATAAGCTGTGTGTGCAAAAGTAAAAATTACGATCTGATCAGATTATAGACAGGTCATCATTCCTTTCATCTTTGCCTCCTCCTCCCCACTCTCTTTCAGGTGACCTCCCCGGACCCCTGTTTAATGTCCTGCTGGACAGGACAGGACATCAGGAGCCTACAGAAGGCTAACGATTCCACTCTTATAACTTACCTTAGGAAATCATCACAGATACCATGGGCCATAGGGTTCCTCCCAAGCCTTGAACTCTCTCAACCTTGGAACTCTACAGCCAGGCCCACTCACAGACTATGTCCTGACCCCACCCCTTCCTTTCTCTCTGAGCACTGGTCAAGCTGTCCTGTAGCTACCCACTGACTTCTCTTTCCCCAAGGAGAAAGGACAGGAGCTACAGAGGAAGAATTCTGGCTCACCTGGATGGCAGTATGCCCCACACCCTGGATAGGACCAAGTGGCATATGGTGTTTTAGCTGCGTGAGGAAGAAAGATGGCATGCCTGACCAGTGTCCTTCCACCATACCCACATGAGCTCCTGAGCCAGAAGCAGGACTTACAGACATGAAATGGAACCTGAGGACATTGTCGATCCCTAGAGCTTTCAGCTGCAGGATGACGGGGGCCAAATTGCTGCGCTGCATCTCAGGGACGGTGGACTGAGGTAACTGGTCAAAGGCTTCCTCTAAGGATAGGAAATCAGAAATGGATCAAATGTGACACTCAAATGCACCGTACATCAGCAGAGTCCACTTTCTCTACCTTGGACAAGAGCTCTGGGATTCTGGGACCAAATGCACAACACTATGATACAAAGTTATTTTTACATTTAGGAAGGACCTACTTCAAAACTATAGAGAGTTGAACAATATTCCCCTTTACAGAAGCACGTTCCTTTACTTCCAAATGCTGCTTTTCAAATGCTTTTGTCAGCGAAATACAAAAGGAAAAGTAGCAAGCATTTGGGTAATTACTCTCAGACCCAGTTGCTGTTCACTCTGCATAGGGCAGATTGCTTCAAGGAAGCAAGAACAGCACAAATGAGCAAAGAACAATGTAGAAATAAATCACCAAAACTGCCCTAGAATCTGACGAAGGATCTAATCACAAAGAGCAAAATTCATACAGATCTAGTTTTTAAATCAAGGAGCCAAGTGCAGAGTCACACCCAGAATCCTGTACTTGCATGTCCCACAGGAACAAAAGGTAACCTCAAACAGGAGAAGCACCCCAAGGCACAGAGATGGGGGGAGGAAGAAGGAGAAGGATAGAGAGTCGGGGGCGGATTTATGAAAACCAGATCAAAGGGTGGGGAGAAAGGAAGGCTTTTCTGAAATCACTTTCTGTGTATACCCAGAAAGCCTATGGATTACACACGCCAAACCCTCCCACATAAGTCTGATCGCTATACAGATGCACACCCTCCTTAAACACAAGCATCACGCAGCCTCCATTTAGATCAGAAGGCTTCAGTTAACTAGAGAGGAAAATGAACTATAGCCAAGTTTCTGAAGAAACACTACTATCAACATAAACTTTAGAAAAGTTTTCTGAAAAAACAGACAGCCAATATTCTGGACTGTGTAACATAAATTGCCAAATGCATGGGTTTAGCTGGAAGGTTCTAGATGGCAAACAACAGCAGGAAAGGAGTTCTTTAGCTTTGAGAACATTGTGGTTACTGTGCTGTTACCAGGACAACCATATTCCCCAGGCACTACTGACCACGGCAGAAACAAGTCATTAGCTGAGAGGCTGGCCCCTCTGAGAAGATGCTGAGAGAAGTGGTGTTGATGCTCAGAGATGAAGACGTGATGAGATAGGGAAGCTGCAAAGGCCCAGAGCCCAGAGCATAGGTCAGGAGGGGCAGAAGCCACAGGCAATAGTCCTGGGGACCTTCAGAGGTAGGAAGGACCTGGATCAAGACCAGAAAACAGGCCCAAGGGGGACATATGCCCCTGCCATGAACCATGGGAGGCTCAGGAAGGAGGAGAGCAGAAACTGTGGAAAAGCTATACAGGAGCTGCCAAGTGTCCCAGGAGGATCTCTGTGGTTACTGTACTGTTACCAGGACAACCACACTCCCCAAGCATACCACTGGCCAAGGCAGAAACAAGTCACTAGCTGAGAAGCTGGCCCCACTTAGAAGATGCTGAGACAGACAAGCCCAAGGCATCAGAGGTGTGACTGGCACAGTGGGAAGCAGACGATGTGTCTAAGAGTGGAGCTCAGCTGAGAATCAGGTAGGATAGAAGTGAGAGCAGAGGAGCTAAGGAAAAGTCTCGGAAAGTTCTGGAAAACAAAATGATCTGAGTACAGAACAGCTGCACACTCTGAAAGCTCAGCTGGGAATCTGAGGGGTGGGCACTGACACACTGCTTTCTGTCCCCGGCCCTTCCCAAGCACACCCGTGTTAAAGCAGCTACGACACATGAAATGCTGATGCCATCTGAGTTGGAGCCGGAGAGATGGCTCAGTGGCTAAGAGCATGTGCAGAGGAGCCAGGTTCAGCTCCCAGCACCCACGTGCCAGGTAAGAATCCTCTGTAATCCTCTTCCAGGACCTTCTTCTGACCGCCTAAGCACCAGGCACACATGTGGTGCACATAGACATGCAGGTAAACCACACAAAATAAAATTACCTCAAACTAAAAATATTGTTGAAAATGGTGGTGCATGTCTTTAAATCCCAGACCTTATGAGGCAACAGTAGAGAGATCTCTGAGGCTAAGGCCAGTCTGGGCTCCACAGAGAAATCCTGCCTCAAAAAAAAAGAGAATCCCTTAAAAAGTTAAACACACAATTACAATACCTACAACTCTGCAATTCCTCAAAGAATTAAAGGTTCCCCTGCATGTCGCAAGTCTACCCACACTTATGTCCAGCACCACTAATCCCTAGGGCCAAAGAGAAACAGCATAAAGGAGGATTGAAAAGACAGAGTAAGTGGGTACTGGACACAGGAGGGAACTAATGACTTGGAAATTCTGTCTGCACACTAGGAAGGTAGGAAGGTATGCTCCATTGGGGTGGACAGTGGGAGTGGTGTATATCTCAGTACCACTCCCAATGAAAGAGACAGACAGACAAACAGCAGCTCTGGAACATGAGGAACAAATGTCTGCCCTGGGATCCAAAGCCCAAGCTACTCTAAGAAAATCCAATTGTTAAGAAACACCGTACAAACCTGTATAAAGGCGGTAACACTTTCCTGAGCGGTTGCGCCCACCACGTCCTGCCCGCTGATTGGCTGACGCCTGAGACACTGGTACCACCACCAAGCATTCAATAGCTGTCTTGGGGTTGTATGCTCGGAGCTTCATAAAGCCACAATCAATCACATACACAATGCCACTGATTGTGATGGAAGTCTCGGCCACATTGGTGGCTACAATCACCTACCGAAAAGAGAAAGAAAACTAGTTTCTTCTTTCCACTTTAAGTAAGTTTAAAAATCCTAAAGACATACTTCTATTTCAAACATCATGCTGCTGGGCAGAAGCTTAAGACCAGTATGCTGGCTGGGAATGTTCCAGTTCTATAACCATATACAGCTTCCCCAAGCTCCTGAGCACTGCATTCTCATGCACATAGTATGACCACTGCTTCCCTCAAAGTTGTCCAGGGGGATCCAAACACAAAGAGATTAGACACTAACACTGAGCACACGGTCAGTTCAATGTCTGTTTTCTAACAAGCAGATAACTTCAGAGAACAACAGGCACCAGGGAAAAAGCACAACCTGGGATATACATAATAGCATATGCTGTGTCATTACATACTATAATATACATGTTATATATCATACATTATACATTATAACAAAGTTTCCCCTTCACACTGGCTGCCCAGCGACAATATCACTATTCGTGTTTTAATGAATATAAATTCAGACCTACTGACAGGAACTAGACAACCTTCAGACCAGAGAGAAGTGCCACAGAGGAAGGAGATACTACCAACACAGTCACTGTACAAGGAGCTTAAAGACAGAGAGGTTCCAGCTAGTGTGCACCAGTCAAGTCTCTGGCTACCTGCCAGCTGCCCCTGCCAGGTTTAACGCAGCTGGGGACATGTACATAAGACACACACAACATTTTTCAACCACTTTACATTTTATAAAATCATTTTTTTGAAAATCCTCCTACTTTTATACGTAAAAGCTACTGGAGAGGCAGGTAGACGGCTCAGTGGGTAAGGACACCTGCTGACAAGCTGAAGGTCTGACTTCAATCCCTGAGACCCATATGACAGAAGGAAAGAACGGACTCCTGTACATGCACTCTGACCTCCACCTGCAAACATGACACATATGTGCCTGCCCCTCCCCACATAAATAAATGCAGTAAGAATGTTTCATTACGAATGTTTACAGCTCGGAAATCTGAAGCTGAATAACTTAGGGCAAAGCACACAGTAACCCCAGGTAGAACCCAGGCCTGTTCCCTGGCTGACAGCGGTTCATGTGTGACTGGGCAGATCTGGATTGCTCCATACCAAGTGGCCTTAAGTTGGGAATGGGTCCTCAGACTCGGGCTATCCATCACCTACTGCACTCTGAGCCACCTGCTTATACTCCTCATCTAGGGGAAAGGATGGGGCAGGGGAGGCAGAAATCAGGCACCTGGTTCCTCCCAGCCAAAGCTTCTTGCCACCACACCCATCCTCACCCTAATTTCAAGGCTAAAGACTTACCTGACTTAATATTGGCTCTAAAGGCAAACTGATACTCCTAACAAATGCTTTAGGAGCCATGGTTAGTAACTTTATCTAGTTCTGACTGAACATAATCTACCATGACAGTCTCTGAGGCTACGGTAACAATGTGCTGTGAAATCCATTCAGCGGAAAAACAAAAGCTACAAGAGATGACCTGCTCCGATAATCACTGTCGGAGTGGCCCTTCTGTGAGGTGACCTGCTCTGATAATCACTGTCGGAGTGGCCCTTCTATGAGGTGACCTGCTCTGATAATCACTGTTGGAGTGGCCCTTCTGGGCAGGTTTAGAAACCGTCACAGCACATTAGCTACTGTGGACTCTTAGAGCTACTGCACAGAAACATGGACCTAAGATTTGAAAGAGAAGTCCTGTTTGGCCAAGTTCACTTCAGTTAAAACAATAAACAGGGTCTAGGGAGATGGGCTCAGTAGGTAAAATGCTGGCTGTGTATGTGCCCTGAATCTCCAGAACCCACATAAAGCCAGCCAGGGTAGCATGAGTTTATAATCCCAGAATCCCCACAGTGAGAGGAGGCAGACAGAGGAGCCCCAGCATTTGTGGGCCAGCTAGCCTTGAAGACACAGAAACAAACGACCTGCCTCGAAAGGTTTTCTCCAACCTCCACATAAGCATTGTGGCATGTGTCTACACTTACACACATGAATGCTCACACACACACACATGAACACAGACTAATACATATACACATCAGAGACAACATTCTGCAGTACAAAGAGAGCTAATGTGATTACCAATGGCTGCAAGGAGCACTGATCACTAGGAGTCTCACCTTCCTGACGCTGTGTGACACCCTTTCAAACACCTTCATCTGCTCAAAAGAAGGCAGCCCTGCATACATGGGGAGAACTCGGAGGTGTTTCTTCATCCCAGTGCGAGCCAGTGCCCGAGCCTGCTCAATCAGCATGGACACAACGGTTTCTACTTCTTCCTGAACACAGAACCAGAAAGGAAAGAAGCTGGTTAAGCTATCACACTGAAGGAGCAAATGCTGGAATAGGGGTTTTAGCTGTGGTCACCTTCAGGAGCTCTGTGCTGCCATGTCCCACTCAGAATGACACTTCATCGAATGCTACCAAATAACAGTGTCAAAGGAGTGAAGCTCGGTAAGTGTGCAGTTAATTAGTCAAACTAAACCATCGGTAGTTAACAGAAGAGTTCCCATGAATAAAAACAATGAGGAACTGGAGAGATGGCTCAGTGGTGAAGAAGCTCTACTGCTCACAGAGACCAGAGTTCAGCTCCCATCACCCGTGTAGGTGGCTCACTCTGCCTGCACCTCCAGCTCCAGGGGATCCGACCCTCTCCTCAGGCCTGCACACAGGTACCTGCACTCACTGCACAGAGATGACACGCACACACATAAGACTCCGTAAATGACAGCTCTTATGGACTGGCGTGAACGGCACTCCGTTATGGACATGCTGAGCATTCTGTTTGTATGGGCAAGCTGCTACCTATGAAATCATTAAAAAGCTTTCCCGAGGAGAGATGCTAGCCATGGGAAATGTTTGGTAGTGGAAAAGATTGTTCCCGAGGAGAGATGCTAGCCATGGGAAATGTTTGGTAGTGGAAAAGATTGCAGCTAGAGGTAGTTCGAGAAGCATTACCACCTTAAGAGAGTATTCTGGTTTATTCGGTTGTTTTTCCTCTGTAGAGTCACAGGCTACCTACAGAATGAGCTGGAAAGATACCACAATCAAAGGACCCACTCCTACCATTAGGCCACCTGGGAAAAGGTGTCCAACTTTTGGTCATGGGATGGGATTGCAATATACAGAAAGCACAGTGTACCTAATGCACTATTCAATATGGCAAATGAAGCAGCCATTGACACAGAATCTAATTTACTCTGAAATCAGCTAATACAATTGAAATGTCAGAGCAGGAGAGATGGCTCAGAGGTAAAGAGCACTAGCTGCTCTTTCAGAGGACCTGGGTTCAGTTCCCAGCATAGACAGATCAGAATCATCTATAACTCCAGTTCCAACAATTTGACAGCCATTCTGACCTCCACTGCACCCACATGGTACATATACATACACAAAGGCTCACACACATAAAACAAAATTTAAATTAAAAAAATTCAGTTAACCCTCTATAGACAGACTAGGAATGAGCTAATGACTTCTCACAATCTAAATGGTAGATGACCAGTAGATCACTAGATGGCATCAAACCAATTTTTTTTTTCTTTTATGCAATTTAGCAGCTACACAATACAATTAAACATGACACAAGGGGCTGGCTGTTCTTCCAGAGGACCTGGGTTCAATTCCCAGCACCCACATGGCAGCTTAAAATCCTCCATTAACTCCACTTCCAAGAGACCTGACACTATTTTCTGGCCTCCTCAGGAACCAAGCATGCAGATAAAACACCTATACACATTTTTAAAAGAAAAAAAATGAAAAGAAAAGAAACAAATGGCTAAGAACAAGGCTTTATGTTAGCTCTGTGCTGTCTTAACATGTCTATGAAGAGGGACTGGGTGGAGTTACCTGGCCAGTAAGAAAGGCTAGTATGTCTCCATCTCCCTCTGTCTGATGAATTTTTACCACAGTGTCCACAGTTGCCTTGATATAATCTGGAACAGGACTGGGGGAAACGGATGAAGAAAAAGATCGTCACTGGAACGGGCTCGTTAATCACAGATCAATTATCCTAATAACCCGGCACCAAACCTCATCAGAGTCAGTCTGGGCCCGCCCAGCAGGTAACTAACATATAGAGAAGTAAAATAAATAACACACTCCTTTATTTTCAAGGGCAGCACCCAATAACTGAGGGTGTATCTCAATGATACAGCACTTGCCTAACACATGTAAGGTCCCAGGTTCAATGTCCAGCACAAGAAAGAAAAGAAGAACATTAAATGTAGCACTTCTATACATAATTACATGTCAACAATGGGTTTGGGCTATATTTCCTAAGAAACAAAGAACATTCTGAAAGATAGAATGTTCTGGAAGCTGGTCCTGCATCATTGCCAGATTTAGTCTTGATACTCCTGTACAAATTTACATGCATCTGTGGCCATCAGCTTGGCTGGAGAGAGTAAAGCAGCAAGAGGCTGATGGGAAGTGCGTGTCAATGATTTATCTTCAGCATGCAAGGATGCCAAGTCACAGAAAACCAAGGCAGCAGTTTCAGTGGAGAAGCCTACTGCCCAACTAGCCTTTCTACTGCTGTGATGAAACACCATGACGAAAGCAAGTTGGGAGGAAAGGGTTTATTTGGCTTATGTATCCCAAGTCACAGTCCATCACTGAAGGAAATCAGGACAGGAATTCAAACAGGCAGGAACCCAGAGGCAAAAGCTGATGCAGAGGTCATGGAGGAGTGCTGCTTACTGACTTGCTCCTAATGGCTTGCTCAGCCTGCTTTCTTGTAGAACCCAGATCCACCCTCAGTGGGCTAGGCCCTCCCCCATCAATCACCAATTAAGAAAGTGCATTACAGGCTTGCCTAAAGCCCATGCTTAGGGAGGCATTTTCTCAATTGAGGCATCCTCCTCTTGGACGACTCTAGTTTGTGTCAAGCTGATAAGAAACTAGCCATCAGAGCACACCCATCATCTTCCCAGCCAGCACCAATGGGCCGAGTGAATGGAAATTGGTAGACATTCCGTCCAGCCAGAAGGACCCAACAATGCAGTTTTTAGCTCTGGATTTATCAGACGCTAAGTCTTCTTGCTAAGGATGTAAAAAACTGAGAGACAGACCAGCACTGCTTCCCTCACTAATGGCCCTCTGGAACACCCCCACCCCGTTCAGAAAACTGCCACACCGCTTTCCATAGGCCTCCTGCCTGACTCTGTCCGACTGGACTGATGGCCACAGACGCGTGTAAATGTGAACAGGAGTATCAAACTCTCAGTTCAACAGTGAGGCTGGTCCAGCTTCCACAATTCTACAGTAACAGGAGCTGCACAGTACCTCCCCCACTGGCCTCCATGACGGAGGCAGATGATGTTCCCTACTATCCTGCAAAACAGGAGAGGCCGCGAGTCTCCATCACCAAGAAGCAAACATTATCAAACCTTTGTAGGTAAAAGATATCCACTGGAAATGTCCGTCCTTCCACTGCGAGCGTCACAGAGGTATCTCTGGCTGGGTCACTGGTCTCATTCTGGTTAAAGAAATCTCGAAATTTCTAAAAATAAATATATATATATATATTATTCATATTAACTAAAAAAAAAGAGGATGGTTCACAGTAATCCCTAGAAAGAAAGTGTTAGTATTCTGTCTAAACTCCACCTCCACAGTTACCTGGTGATAGCCAGGTATGCTCCTCCCCACAGTTACCTGGCAACAGCCAGGTAGGCCTGCCCACTATAAAAGGGGCTGCTTAGCCCCTCCTCTCTCTCTCTCTCTCTCTTGTTCCCCTTGACCCAGCACCTGCAGGTTGCCCTCTCCCCTCCCCCCTTCCCTTCCCCTTCTCTCCACGTGGTCATGGCCGGCCTCTCTCTACTCCTCTACTTCTGCTCTCTGCCCTCTCTCTCTCCTCTTGCTCTCCCTCTCTCTTAATAAACTCTCCCTCATGGAACCGTCCGTTATCTGCGCACTGAAAACCTTTCATTGGTGCAGAAACCGGGTCACAAAGACCTTGACCCATGCAGCCGCTGGCTCCGGCTGCTGCAACTGTGCAGGATAGACAAAACGCCACCACTGCCATTGCTACACCAAGCGGACTTCATCTCTGCTACCCGCCATCACCGAGCGCATGAATTAACATCCGCTGCTACAACCACCGCCCCATACCGCTACTTCAAGACTCACCAAACTTCCACCACATGAGCTGAGCCACCGCTGCCACCCGTGTGGTACTCTGCCACGTGGGCTGGGTAGCAAGACAGGCACGTAGACCCCACACACACACCCGGTTCCACATTTCCTGATACCAGACTGCACAAACTCTCATGCACACACCGGCATTTTTAATTGGTAAGGAGTTTCCATTCGGCTTGACCCTGAACACCCGGTTAGTGCCTGGCCAGTGCCTCCTGGACTAAGGGTTGGCTTTTTTGCCCCAGAACATGTGACTGGCCTCTAACCAAACTATGATTGTTATTCTGCTAAGACATTGGCCCGTTGGGTGGTTTTTCCCCTCTAAAGTAGCTCCCAGCTTCCCCCAAGCTCGCAGCTGAAACCCTGGTACCAGGTGAGAGCTACTTTCTGGCAGGCTCCAGGAGACCCGTGAAGGCCCCCTGATAGTCTCGTGACGACCTGATTATCTGGCCTGAGCCTGATTTTCGTTGCCACTTTTTTCTTTTGGGACGCCGAATGATAACTTGGTAATAGCCACGATCACCCAATAGGCACGTTGTCTTCATCCGTACCCACAGACACATACTGCCAGCAGTCTGATAACTGGAAAAAAATTCCCTATACCCCTTTCCATGTGTTCTGCCTGCTCCCCACCCAAGGTTTTGCCCCACATCTCTTTCTAATCTTTCTTTTTTAATTAATTAAACCAAAATGGGGGAATTGCTGTGACTCTAGCGGACGTCTACAGGTTCCACACTCACTAGCCTAGAACTGGACGGTTCCCCTTGGATGAGGTACTTCCCCTCTTCCTCTCGAGACAGTTTCTCGTGGCTGAGTACCCTAGGCCAGGCCTGGACCGCTATGATTACTCCCCTTGGATGGGATACTTCCCCTCTCCTCTCGAGACAGTTTCTCGCTGAGTACCCCAGGCCAGGCCTGGACAGACTGTTCTCTCTGCCTCAGGAGCACTGGCTCTGACCATAGTCCCCAGCATGTCTCTTCCACGGGTGAGCCTTTACTGTTTTCTCTTAGGAGCACTGGCTCTGACCGTAGTCCCCAGCTTGTCTCTTCCAAGGGAAAGCCTTTTGAGCACTTCCCCCTCCTCCTCCTCCTCCTCCATCATATGCAGGTCGACTGGACTCAGTTCCAGCGCCTTGCCTGGAAAGCAGCAGCCTGTCCGGGACTCTGCTTGCTCCCTCCCCACCTTCGCCTCCTCTGCGGCCGGTGCCGGTTTGCCTGCTCCCTTCCCAATGTGGTCCTTAGCTCTGCCCTGGGTCTTCCCTTTACATCCTGCTGCCTGGGACCTGTAAAGTGAGTGTCAATGCCTTCCGCCACAAAAACTAATGTTGTGGTGATATGGGACATGCTTACTTTTACTAAGTGCATCCACCAGAGTCACTGGGCAGTGACTTCCAGATGCTAACAGGAAGTCCCGCCCTATCACTGCCACCCGCAGACCTGACCCACCCGTGGCACCTGTGGCTCACAGCTCTAACCTGCCAGCAGTACGATCCAGCTTTCTTAGCCAAAATATTTCTGTGCTAATACAAAAAATGTGCTTTTCTCTTCCTACTCAACCTGCCAAAAAGTTACTTAAGACTCTTTCCTAACCTTCCTCGATAGATTTTTACTACTGCTATTGAATTCTATTCAGTTACAACCAATCCTTATGGCTCTCAATCTTGTCAGAAGTCTGCTAACAGTATATTTTAAGTTTATGGCCGATAGAATTCCCAAAGCCTCTAATAGTTACCCAAGATGGTTTCAGAAGACTCGGGACACCGGACTCCTAGAACATACAGCCTGGATTGTATGCAAACAAATGCAGTGGGCTAGATGGGACTCCCTGAGTCAAATGACTTGGCTAAATCAAAGTAAGTCATTTCTCATGTCACGCGAACCCATTCCACAGAAAAAAGCCCTGTGTCTTCTGCGCTTGGAAGCCAAACTGATTTCACCCAAGAGACTGTGGAGACCATGGGAACTGTTGGCTAGTGGACTCTGTCATTTTTTAAAAATAATATATAACTGGTAGATTGTTGTTTACTCTTTATCAGACTTCTGACTACATTGACAGCTGAGCTTTCACAGAGATTATCTGGTACCTCATTACCTAAACTCAGTTGCCATCAATTAAATGCTTCATATTTCCTCTTCTTACTATCCCACTGTCCTAAATCATCTGAGTTCCTAGTAACTTGATTAACTCTAATAAAACATTCCACTATACAATCCAACAAAGGTTCATCTTAGAGACTGCTTGTGTTGTTAACTCATGCTGTTATCTCTTTTGTAAACTTCTAAGCTACAGGAAACCCACTCAGATCTACCTCTCATGGATCAAATAGATGCCATCCAGATAAGTAAAGGTCCCACCCACTACCTATTACAAAGGGTGAGATCCCTCTGGGTTTCAAATGTACATCTTTTAAAAAAAAATTTCTCCAAGTGTTCTTAATCTTATTTCCTACATCTTGTCAAGTCCAGGTGCATCCAGAACAGCTCCAGAGAAGCAACCTCCAAATGCTCCATCTCCTGTCACACACACAGCTGCTTCTACTGGACCTGTTCTTTCTGGCCTATCCTCAGATGGCTCACTGCACAGACCCTGGACATCAGAAAATAGCCAGCTCTCCTAAGACCGGACAAACAACCCCCATATCCGTTCTTCTAGATTCCCCCTAAAGACACGTCGCCCTGAATGCCAGCAGGAAGTAGCCAGATTTCACGACGACCCTATTCCTGTTTTACCATCACCTCTTTCTAATTTTTCTTTTTAATTAAACCAAAACATGGGAATGTTAGTATTCTGTCTAAACTCCACCTCCACAGTTATCTGGCTATAGCCAGGTATGCTCCTCCCCACAGTTACCTGGCAACAGCCAGGTAGGCCTGCCTACTATAAAAGGGGCTGCTTAGCCCCTCCTCTCTCTCGTTCCCCTCAACCCAGCACCTGCAGGTTGCCCTCTCCCCTCCACCCTTCCCTTCCCCCTCTCTCCACGTGGTCATGGCCGGCCTCTCTCTACTCCTCTACTTCTGCTCTCTGCCCTCTCTCTCTCCTCTCATTCTCCCTCTCTCTTAATAAACTCTCCCTCATGGAACCGTCTGGTCTGGCTGTATCTGTTCCACGCTGCGCGCTGAAAGCTTTTCAGAAAGAAAATACAAAACACGCAGAGGTAAGTGGGATTGCAGGAATTAGATACATAAGATTACGCACTGCAGAACAGCTTGTTTTATTTTAGAGACAGGCTCAGATGTGGCCCAGCTAGGCTCTAACTCACTGATTAGCTGAGACTAGCCCTGCACCCCTGATCCTCCTGCCTCCACTTCTCGAGTGCTGGGATTACATGTATGCACTATCACATCACACAAAATGATTTTCTACATTCACAAAATTCTTTTTTTTTTTTTTATGGCTCCACCAGGCCATCTCCCCACATGGACCAGCTTTTGCTTGTCAAAGACAGGATCTTGATACTCAACTCAAGAAGACCTGAAACTCTACATAGCCCAGGCTGGAACCAAACTCAGTATCCTCCTGCCTCTGCCTCCTGAATGCTGGAATTACAGACATGCACCACCACAGCCAGCTAAATTTACTTTTCTCTTATTAAAATTGCAGAGGAAATTTCAATGACAGATTCTAAAGATTTGATTATAAATAAAGGTTAGAATTCAATGAACCTCAGCTGATGTGTAGCTGTGGTAATACTTTATCTCCATCCTCTGTAGTTTACTTAGCTGAAAATTAGGTGTGACCCAGGTTTGGTACAGGTTAAATCAGGCTAGGGGATAGCTAATCTAGAAAGCACATATCTAATCACACAAGGTTATCAGTTCACAGAGGTTTCCTTCTTACACACTAGGTATGTCTCTGATATATATTTACTATAACTTTTCAATAGATTTCAAGCCGTCTGATAACATAAACAGTGTCTTCTACAATCATGTGCACATGTATGTTGACAGAGAACCAGACAGAACCACTTCTTAGTCAATAAAGCAATGTCCCCAGCAATGGAGATCCTGAGCCTGAATTATTATCACTATGAGAAACAGGCTGGGACAGAACTGGAGAGACCCAGCCAGAGCCAAGTTTAAACATTCCAGACAGCTCAGAGACAGGACACAAGTAACACAGTCAAGACTGTCACGAACACCCAGTGTTAGCTGAGCCAGAGGCCATGGAAGGATGTGGGACTTCGTAAGGGTATTCTGGTTCATGGTTGGGCATGTGCCTAGAACCCCAAGACTCTACGTGAGAACCGGCAGGAGTTTGGCATGCCCCCAGAACCCAGGGTCCCGAAAAGCAGTCTAGTCTCCATAGAAATACATTGTTCAATCATGTAGGCCATTACAGCCCCTCCCAAGGTGCACAGGTAG